TAATATATATATATATATATATTATATATATATATGCTATAATTCACATTAAAACATTTGCATGCGGCATGCTCTAATCCAAGACTTACTTCTGTACTCTGGCTGAAAATGACCGCAATTCCACCATATCAAGTTCAAGTTCACTGCCTCTGATCCGGTGGCTTTGCACCAGACGATGAGAGTCTGTCTTACCAGTGGCATGTCGCAAAGTAATAGTTGCGCGAGGTGTTTTTTTGTGGGTTGATGATGGATGCCATATTTCTAATATACAATGTTACAAGTGTGTTGAGGCGTTTACAGCATGTAGCAAGCCCTAGTATGGTTAATAACAAGCGAATTTCTGATGAGTGCAGCGTTGCGGTGCGTAGGCGCACGTGCCTTCGTTACCTCCTCTCGTAAGCGCATAGTTGAACGCCGGCTGAGCCTTGTTGTAATCGCGTGTTTTTCGTGGGAGTGCGATGAAAACTAGAATGGTATGCATGTTCTGTGCGTGACGGCATGTTTCCAGTGTAGTCATTTCCTTGAAACTGGGCATAAAGCTGATCGAAACGTTCTAAATAAATTTACTGAGGTAATATTGTATATCGATACACCGAAAACAACAAACATGCCATACGAAACTCGAACAAACGGTCCAAGTCATAAACGATGCATTTGTCTATTTGTCTCGTCCAGGCACCGGATTCAACCCCGCTGAAATGTTCGGCATTCACCGGTCATGACCACAAATCGTTCCGGTGTCCCCTCGTTGTGTATTCCAATGGGAAAAGACAATAGACGTCTTTCATTACAAACCACAGTGTCGGATTAATTCACATCCATTTTTCTCATGAAAACCATTTTATTGAGAAAGGCTGCATTAGATCTGCAATTTAACCGACGTAACGCCTCATCTTGCGAAAAACCTTGCCTCCCCGCGAGTATGCCACCAGTTGTCAGCTACACATAACATCTACATCGAGTAACCGCGGGTCAGACCGATCCCGCGATAAATGAAAAAACCTGCGTGTTTTAATGTGACGGAGATATCGAGAAGCATTACCGCCGTAGAAGGTCACAGTATGACTACTCATGCAGGTCGCGACCAGGGAGCAAACAGACTTGCATTCATGTCATGGCAGTCATCAGGCATCATATCACTGTGCGCAAGGGTTGGCCACAACGCATAGATGACATACATTGCTGACATAGTCGGTGGAAGGAGAAGCTATTAGATGGTTGGTGCTGTGCAGCAGATGTTCCGAAATGCCTGGGCCATGTTCTCGGAGGTCTCCGGTTCAGCTGCCTTGAAGTGAGGCTCCGTTAGAGGGTAAGCACCATACATCAGATTTTCCGGAATGTGTGAGTCATGTTCTCGGGGGTCTCCGGTTCAGCTGCCTTGCAGTGAGGTTCCATTAGGGGGTAACTACCGCGTATCAGATTTTCTGGAATGTGTGAGCCATGTTCTCGGAGGTTTCTTGTTCAGCTGCGTTATCGCGAGGTTCGGGAAGGCTCAGGGTCTCCCCGGTGACCATATCGGAGGCTGTGTCACCCCTTCGGTCATTCTGGCGAGGCTTGAAACGGCTCTGGGCTTCCCTGGTGACCACATCGGAGACCACATAGACCACATTGCCTCCTCCCCCTCGCTCTCCTGGTCGCTCTGGCGAGGCTCGCTGAGCCAGCGCGTCGGTTGCGGGATCAGGAGTGTTTCCGCTATGTGGCGCCACCGTCCGGGGCGACCGCAAGCCAGGGCCCTACCAGGTCACGGTCAGGGCCTCGTTGGTGATTTTGCGAGGCGTGCGCCTGCGTGCAGGCGTCGGCCGGCGGCCTGTGGGCAGTGAAAGTGCTCCAGCAGCCGCGTGACTGTTGCGGGCGCCGCGCTTCAAACCACTGGCGGTCGTCGGGTCGGGGTTGCGGTTGCTGGTTCAGCGCACGGAATCAAGTGAGGGTCATGGATTTGCAGGGCCCGACACGCACCGTGCCGCCACCCAGCCATTGCGCACACACATAGTGCTGCCACCTCCAGGGCGCTGTCAAACTACGACTTCTGCCACGCGTCATCCGTGGAAAAGACTCCAGTGACATCTACCGCCTACGCGTTATTCCCTTTCCTGCTCGGCCTTGCATCTCCAGTTTTCAAGGCATCGGAAAATGGAAGAACATGACTGATGTGCCGTCCTTTGGCCGCGCTCGTCCCGTGCTGTCGTCAAAAGGCGCTACATCGTATTCATGCGAAGGTCATTATGCGGTCCAGCTGGCGCAGGGCTCAGGTGTCGCATTCAGCCGATCACGGGCCGACAGCGGCGGTTCGTGGTCAGCTAGTTAGCCGTGGCTGTCATCACTGCTCGTTACGTAACGAGTTTGGATGCCGAATAAGAAGACCTGGATGTTAGGTAACCGGCCGGGCTAATTAAGCGCATTCCGGCTCAGCAAGCACGAAAACGTTGACCCTGAAACATCATGGTAGTGAACGTCTTCGTAGGCAACAAACTGGCTACCTCAGCTCAGCACTAGAAGCGAGGACATTTCCTTCGGGAATAAATTGTCATTCATCTGGTTTCCTGTAACACTCAATAGCATGGCTCTTTGGTGGCAAAACTGCTGTTGCCTCGTTAACCTGGTGGTCTCGTCATCTTCCAGGGTTGCGCCTGCTGATCACCACATGTCTAAGCCTTTCTTCGGCCACAAACATGCTGTATGGCTTGCGACACCGTCACCGGTCAAAAACTCTCTTTTGATGTATGTATACACGTCCAATCGCTCCGTCACAAAAGGGTAGCATGCATATCACCCGGGTACGCAGACCACCTGAGTACCTGAACCATTCCGAAGACCGAGCACAGGAAATCGATGCACGTACATATATGTCTCGCCTTTACGGCGTCGGTGCACCGGGGTGGCAATACACGGTACCTACTCCGCCTTGCACAAACCACCAAAACACTTCACTTGGCTCGCGGCCTCCACATACCAGAGATCTCGGCTAATGACATCACGCAGCTGATTCTACCGACAGGGAAGCATGGGAGATGCCACACCAAGCACCGCATGAGGTCTCTGTGTCACGCGGAGCTCTGACTGACTCAGCTTGCCAGCCGACGGCGAAAAACAGCCATCTGACAACACACACCGGAGAAAGCAGCCAGCGCCTCACGCCGTTACACGCCGAGATGGCCCGGTCCACGACAGGCCTGGCGACCGAATCAATCAGCCGTCACTCCGGTGGCGAAAGTAGTCTGATAACCGCAGCCGCTACCGCCGAACCACACATGAGGCCGGGTGTCGGCGGCGGCGTGAAACATTCCTCCCACATCCGAGCACTGACATCCATGACATGAAGGAGGGACACAGCTCGCGGACGTATTATTCGAAAGCCGCGAGGCGCTGGAAGTGCCATCTATCGCCAGTCACGGCAGGCAGAATTTCAAGCAAGCCCGTCATGTTATCGGCGTTCACGGGATGCAGGCCACGCAAGCCCGCCACATCTGCCATCTATTGACACTCACAGCAGGGAGAAGTCCACGCAAGCTCGCTGCACAGACTGTCATCTATCGGTGCTCAGAGTAGGCAGAAGTCCAGACAGGCTCGCGCCGGTGTCTGCAACAGCTTGACGTGGTTGTAGACTTTGAGCGCGGGCCCGAGCTTCAGGCCAAGGCCTCGCAGCACGTCCATCCTGGCCAGGCATCAGCAGCGCCGGTCCGTCCACCTCCTGTGGGAGACGGCACGAGGTGACGCTTTCAAACGGCGGTGTGCATAGCTCCAGTCATCACAGTTCAGACGCTGTATCCGAGACCACCGCGGACCACGCCACCGACAGTGGCACGAGCTGAACGGCAGCCGCCTTTATCCCATTAACACAGCCGCCTGTCGCGTCTGACCGCCTGGCACTCAGCCGGCACCGGAGGGGGGCCTCCCTCTGAATGCTGCCCCGCGCTCGCTGACAACCGTACCAGCGGCGCACCCGCTGGCCGCAAGCACCGGACGAGCGGCGCGCCCCGCGGCCAACAGCACCGGCGCGCCGGCCGGCTACGCTGGCGGTGCACTCACGTGCTTGCGGAAGGCGTCGGCGTGTTGGGCGAAGCCGTGACGGCTGAAGTAAGCGGCCACCTCGGCGGTGCTCCAGCCGGAAGCGTCCGGTACGCTGGGGTCCACCGGCGCGTCCAACAGCTGCAGCGGCCAGTCTCCAGCCGGACCGCCACCGCAACCGGCGCCGGCTTCGGCGCCGGCTTCGGCGGCGGTTTTTGCGCCGGCTTCTGCACCGGCTTCTGCGCCGGCTTCTGCACCGATTTCGGCGCCGGCTTTTGAGCCCACTTTAGTGCTGGCTTCGGCGCGGTTTTCTGCGCTACCTTCGGTTGCGACGCCGCCACCGCCGCCGGCTTCGCCAGCAGCTCACGGGCAGGCGGCGATTGTGGCTTCCAAGCTGAAGTCAAGGGGTCAAGTCAAGGTTGAGGTCAAGTGCCGACGGCGACGTGCTGACATCTCGCTGTGCGCACGCACCAGATGCCAACGCTTGCTGATGGCGTTTTAACGGGCAGCGAGACCTGTTTCAGTACATCACAGGATTACCAATCCTAACTTTTCATGGTTATCACAACGGGCTGACCTTCGACCTGTCGCGGCTGACCATCGATCCGTCGCAAGTTCCACACGACCTTTCCGCACTCCAGGTCCCTCAGAGAAAGAGAGACACAAAGCTGGGCACTTATCACAACCGTCACCAGCCTCGCCTTGGCAAAAGGCCTGCCGGAAGGTGGCCAGACGTTCCTCGGTGCACGCCTACCCCCTCCCACTCCGGCCCCCCACACACACCCCACCCCAAGAGCGCTCTAAAACCGTCCAAAACCGCTCCAGAACCGCTCTAAACTAGCTCTGGTGAGCTGGTCCGCTTCCACTCTCAAACAGCATCCACGGCTCCACGTGCTCCCTCTCGTCGCCCGAGCCGCAGCGTCGCGCGGCCTCACCTAGCTTGGCGGGCCGGCCGGGACCGGGCTTGCCACCCGCGACACTGCAGACACAATCCACTCGCCGACCGGCTTTCGCCGCACCACCGGCCGGTGGCACACCATGTGGTACGCCTCGTCGCACTTGTCGCAGAATATCAGCTCCTGCGGCAGACGCCGGTGAGCTGGGCCGCCTGCGCGGGACACTCTAACGACGGGGTGTGCGGGGTGAACGGAACACTGGGCGTGCAGAGCGCACACAGTGGGCGGGGTGTTGGTCGTGCAGAGCGCACACGGTGTGCGGAGTGCTGGACGTGCGAAGCACACACAGTGGGCGGGGTACGGGGTGCTGGACGTGCAGAGCGCACACGGTGGGCGGGGTACGGGGTGCTGGACGTGCAGAGCGCACACGGTGGGCGGGGTACGGGGTGCTGGACGTGCAGAGCACACACAGTGGGAGGGTACGGGGTGCTGGACGTGCAGAGCACACACAGTGGGAGAGGTACGGGGTGCTGGACGTGCAGAGCACACACAGTGGGCGGGGTACGGGGTGCTGGACGTGCAGAGCACACACAGTGGGAGGGGTACGGGGTGCTGGACGTGCAGAGCACACACAGTGGGCGGGGGTACGGTGTGCTGGACGTGCAGAGCATACACAGTGGGCGGGGTACGGGGTGCTGGACGTGCAGAGCACACAGGGTGCGCGAATGCTGCGGCCAGGGCGGCGGGCGGCGTGTCAGTAGTCTTTTATAAGAAGAGGAGTGCCCACGACATCGCAACACGGCAAGGCAAGGCAGCACAGGTCCCGGGTACGGTGTCATGTCTCCTCCGAGAAACTTCGTTTCCGAATGCTAAGCACATTTTGCTTTGTCTCATGCGAAGAGAATATGCAAGTAAGTTTAATTTCAGCCCCGTGAATCCCGACGCCTAAGAAACCGTGTATCCAATGTATCTTTTGGCCGAACATAGTGATCAAAATGAGTGACGATTGACAAGGTCGCGGCTTCCTGTTGACGGAAGTCGTGTCCTTTTACGGAAACCTGTAATGACAAACGTCGCTGGCGTTTACAACTTCTCGCGCTATCAATTTGCCTTTGAAAGTTAAGCGTTTGCGTATGCTTTGGGAGGTCTTACACATCGTCAGAAAATCAAACTGCGCATACGCAGAGATCTGTGGAATGGTACGACGCTCAAAAATATCGTGTTCATGGTGTCTGGTTCTCGCGGGGATACCACGCATCCGCATCGGGTTTAAAAATTAGGTGTGAGCTGTGCGAAAATGCATGGAATGAACAAAGCCTATGTCGGGGAAGTCCATATGCCCTGTTCGTCTGAGCTTTACTGAGCACGTGCGTGACGCGAGCAACCGGACAGAGAAGTCCCCTTTCGGAGACCATTTTTCTTGACCAACACTTGAAGGCTGGAATACAGGCGGGTACAGAACCTTCTAGAACTCTTTAATATTAAGAGCACAGGACCAAAAAGGAAAATTACTGAATCTGCTCTTATAAGAAGTCGGCGACTGGGCCTCAACGTGCAAAGATTACCATGGCTGATCTAGCGAATACGATCAGTGCCTCGGTGCGTGATGCGTGTTTAATTAAAATCGTGTCTGCAGCCACGGGTTTACAGAAAAGCATTCACAGAAACAATGAGTCGGAGCTATCTATATCATTCCCGGAATACTGGTAGCCTGTCAAAACTATGACTCGCTGTCTAAAAAAAATCCAGCTGGCTAGGCCCGTAGGTTTGAAATTACTGTTCGTAGTACCTTGCACCTATTGATGTACTTTTTAGTCGGGATGTCAATGCATCTCCATGTTTCAGTTTTGCCGTCCATGACACCAAAATAATGCGAATAGTAATGCTGGTGTGTATGGTAATGTTACTCGCAGGTGCACTGATAATGATGATGGCGAATTTATCACGCTGATTATCCTGGTCATATGGCGCCTGGCAGCTGCACCAACTGACAAAAACGCAACATCACAATGCACAAGAGCATCGCCAACAGGAACGGATTGGAGAGCTATGGGCGTCTCTGGTCCGGCACGTATGACGGGGCCCCTTCGTCGCACACTCACCCCGCCCACGTCCCGGCAGAGCTTGCAGGTCTTGCAGTCCATGCATGTCCACGGGTGATTTTGCACGACCTTGGCCAGGCGTCTGCTGTATCCCAAGCAGCTCGGGTGCGCTGGAGAGCACGAGCACAAGGTGAGCACAGACCGGTACTGAGTCAGTGACTAAAAACACGACCCGCTGCGATCGGACGATGGACGAGCAGGAGGACACGACCCTCATTCGTCCTATGGCAGTACCCAATCGAGAAAAATCAGTACTGCGGTTCAGGTACCCTACATGGAACTCCCGGTAGGAGATCCAATAGTGCGGCGTCACGTGGGTTTTTGTTTCTAGAGCAAGAACAGCAACCGCTTCTGTTCGGCCACCGTCATGGCCCTTAGAAACAAGGTCAGCGGAGGCTAACCATGTCGAGGATAGAGCACGGGGCTTTCCGATCGCAAATCCGTCGGGCAGCACCGCCGGCGCAGCCGCGCCGCCAGCTCCGGTTGAGCTGACACAGTGTCTGACACAGAGCCGCCCGCACACAGCACCATGTAATACACAGCAGTCAGCTCTGTCGCTGCTTCAAATCTCGGCTGTTAAGGTGGCAGAGGGCGGGCCGCGGCGGCAGCAGAGCGACCCATACCAGAGCGCCGCCGACCTCGAGTGACATCATCGCGCCACTCATCTTGAATTACCCCTTTAGCTTTGGATCAGGTCACTAGCCTGCTGACCTGAGCTCAGGTCGCCAGTCAGCCACTTAAAAATCGGTAAATGGCCTTGACCAAACTTCAGGTCAAATCGCAGCCCACCAACCACAGATCTATGGGGTCAGGTTAACAACCCACCTGCCTTTGGGGTAAGGTTGACATCCCACTCACCTGGCGTCTGGCACTGACGACACACCAGCACCACCTCATGTTTGGTCTGCTTGTGACAGAAGTTGCACACACGCCTGGCCGGGGCGGTCGTGGAGGCGGTAGTGGTGACGGTGGACGTGGAGGTTGCAGTGGCGGCGGCGGTGGCCGCGGCAGGGGCAGCAGCGACGGCGGCGGCAGCGGACGAGCTAAGAGCGCTCATCACCATCTTCTTGGCTCGCTTGGCCGCCGGCTGGTCGGTTTGCGTCGGGCGCGTCTCGCTCGGGTCGAAGATCACCTTGGTTTTCTGCGGGAAAACGAAAACAGACCCGTCAATTGGGGCATTTTCAGAGACCGGTGCAGTTTCAACAGGGAGCCCGAGCAGCGGCCAACGGTGGGCTAGCTGGAAACAGTCGATGGTACCCGACCGCACGCCCCTAATATTGATCGATATCACATGGTGTCGAGACAACCCACGGGCTATGAGGGTCAAACAACGGATGATTTGCGGAGAAGATCCCGGGCCAACCACGGTCAACGGACGATTTGGGGAGAATCACGACTCAACTTAGATTCGCGTCATTTTTTTTTTTGCGAATTTCGGGGAGCTGCGGCCTTCGGAAACAAAAATCGCAGATATCAGGTCCCAAGTGTTTCAACCAGTACGACATCACAGCGAAGAAGTCTGCAAGGACTCAGCTTCAGCACGTGCGCGTCATTAGCGTCGGATCGCTGCGGACGTGCGGGACCAACTGATGGGGCGGGGGGGGGGGAGGGGAGCAACTCAGATAACGCAAACCGCCGAGCCGACGTGGTTCGTCAGCCCGGACGAGACGTTCCACAGCTTGCGCCCCATCAGCTTGTGTTTGCATTAGTTAACGTGATTCGGTGTGAAGGACATGGCGGCATTGCGTCTCCGTTATTCCAGGCCCCGCGGTAGTAACAACGCGCGATCAATGTCGTGGAAAAGCACATGAATCAGGCTACCTAGTGTCACTCATGGCGTACGTGAAGGAGCGGCAATTTGCGAGGGCCACTGGTTACGGAATAGCTCATTTCCTGTCCGAGTTTCGTATCAGTTGAAATCTATTAAAGAAGCAAATAGCGTAGACCGCCGCGTGCTGATGCATTGCAAACGAGTTTTAGTCCTTGTTTGAGTCGGTTGGTGGTCATATACAAGACACGATGACTCGAGACTTATTTACCTACAAAAAATTGACTATATCAAAAAAGACCCGCATATTTTAGACAGCAATGCTCCGTTGGGGGACTGAATGCACGCTGAAATGCTGACTGACGTTTCTGTAACACAACGAACCGGTCATGGATCATTAGGCGTTCGGCAAAGGACTATAATCCGTAATTTTGTCACGTTATTTTGGTATGTATTGCGTCTTTTATTTAAATGAGTCTCAAGTCAACATATGTCATATGTTATTGCGAATTTGTCAGTTGAGTAGAGACGGATAAAGCAAAAATGAGAAACGACCAGTGAAATCAACGAATTGGGTTATGTTTCCAAAAAGAGATTCCTGAGGAATTGTTTATCCGTGACAGCACATTTGTGTTCTGTGTTTATACATGTTACTTACAGGACACATCGCCATCAACCCGGGCCGCCCGCATCACATCCGAACATATCACTACACCAATGGTGATGTAATCGAGCGGATGGATGTACGCGTGCACGCGAACCAGCAGGACTACCTTCACCCGCGCCTCATCCTCCACATCGTCAAAGGCCCAAATGCCAATGGAGGACCTCGTTTTGCTGCACTGGAGAAGGCAGCAGTCACCAAACACCAAGACACTGGAGAAGGCAGCAGCCACCAAACACCAAGACACTGGAGAAGGCAGCAGTCACCAAACACCAAGACACTGGAGAAGGCAGCAGGCACCAAACACCAAGACAGCTCAGGCAGCTGTTCACCGTTATGCTGCAGGCACGCGGCGTGTCAAATCCCATGCGCCTTTGGGAGGCCACCAGAACAGCACGACCAGGGATCACCTGTGCTAAGTCCAGGCCGAGAATCCTAACAAGACATCGTTAACAGCAGCCAGACCTACAAGGCACTGGTCAGGCTCGAGAACAGGCTCACTGTCATGGGAGCAGCCGGTCATATCGTCTTCGGTCTCCCGAGCCACCGTAGCACGAGAACTATTGCCTGTCAGCGGAGTTTGTCCTGCAACACTCGGACCCGCAAGACACCCCGAGCCACCGCGGCACGAGAACTATCGCCTGTCAGTGGAGTTTGTCCTGCAAGACTCGGCCTCGCAAGACATCCCGAGTCACCGTAGCACGAGAACTATCGCCTGTCAGCGGAGTTTGTCCTGCAAGACTCGGACTCGCAAGACGCAGCAATTTCAATTGACGAAACTGAGGAATTTTGAATAGCTGACGTTCTCGGCGACTGTGACCAACGGTAAGTACTGCCGACACGCACATACCTTGGGTGGGTATCTGCGGGCATCAGTTCGGCTCTCTGCGTGACACTTTTTAAACACACTGTTTCATGCCCCACTCCTTTTCGGTTTAGACCTCAGTGCACGTGTTTCTCGGGCTGGTTTTCACGGCACCGAGCGCTTTGCTGTTGGCCCCGAACACACCTACGGCCAGGCAGCGCCGACATCGCTTAGTGATTTACAGACGGTACAGCAGCATACACCGTGTGGTTCGCTATACGTCTTATCTGCTCTGGTTGTCGATAGCGGTCCTTAAGAACGTCCAAAAGCGGGCGGATTCATGGTTACAGCGTATTAGCGCATGACCGAATCCGAAAATGGAGTCACGTCTTTGCTAATTCGGTCGCCCGTTTCCTCCCTGCCTGAATTAGTTGGTCTCGTGCTACTACAACGCCGCACCGAGATCTGGCCCCGTATTCATGATGATCTCAAACAGGTACGGCCATTTCACCATAGCTCAAGAATGGCTTCCGCGAACGGCAGCCTCATTCGTAAGAGCGGGAGTGCTCGGACGTGTCACGCCATGCAATTGCGATATTAGAATTCCTCTGGCACAAACTTTCCGCAGCGGAGAACTCTATACCGGTGTTTTTATTTCGGAAACCAATTCATCCCTACGACAGGTGTCAATTTTCACCTCGGGATTCTCAAGATCATAGGGGCGTTACTTCAAGGAGGAGTGGCAATGTTCCCCGGCGAGATACGATCGATACCATAGCGATATCGCTATTGTGAAGAGGGTGCCCAATGAGTCTTTCATCCCGCGTAGCTCACTCTTTAGGAAACGGGCACTCATTTTTGAAAGGGTGCTCATTTTCTGTCAAGAACCCTGTCCATCTCACCAAGTCCCATTTTGTACCACTGTAAAAAATTGGATAGTGGATCGCGCGGTATAAAAGATGGGATGTGCCTTGTAAATCGCAGACCTACGGCAGGTTAAAGTCGGACCATCGATTCAGTGTAGTCAATTTCAAGGAAATCGTTTAATCTGATGGAACAACGGAAAGTTAGACGAAGCCATACATCTCTGAGATGCTTTCTTAGGCAACGCAACAATTGAATGGCCTGATTTCATTGACCTAGGGTCAGATATGAAGGTCAGACCAGGGCCAAAATTAACCTGCTGTCCTTCTCTAGGGCTCGCTGTTTGGGGTAGTTTCTGGTGCTCGTTTATAATTTAGTGATAACATGAACCGCATTTGGGATCTCCCATGGATTTCTTGTAGGTCAGAAAAGGCTGCTGACCTAAAATGACCCAAGTCATCATTTCGTGTTTAGGAACAAACTGCCTAGCTTAATCTTTCTCGTTCATTCAAATCCAAAACTCAAGGCGGTCTTCCATGATTTTGGTCACCATGACCTGGAGGTCAAACAAGGTCACTGACCTCGAATGATTGACCTTTTCTTCCAACAAGTTTGTAGGTTCTGGGGACACTTTGGAGACCAACTTGGAGTTTGACCTTGTCTTACATTTTTCACCCGAAGGTCATGACCTAGGAGGCCAAAAATTTGACCTGGGAGTTCACGTACAGGTTAACACACCTTGTGAACTTGGTGTCTGTAGCTCTCTCAGTTCCTGAAATCTCAGGGGGGTCAAATTGACATCCACCCCACCCGAGCCAAGGGCATCCAACCAGCCACCCGGTCGCGTGTTAATATCCAGGGACGTTATCTTAGTAACCCTGTTTCTCACCAACATTTCTCTTCATCTGCAACAGCATGAGTGCATCTTCATGTCACACGTTTTTCGTCCCTCACTCTGCTCAAGACCACAGCGATGGCAGAAAATGCGCCAATTCTCCGTCCCGAAAGGCCTCTTCTGCATCATTTGAAGGTTTCGCTTCCATGAAGTAGGCATTTTGCACCCATGTTGTGTCACATGCCCGTTTCATAGCCTTAGAGCATTTTACAGTTGTACCAGTCCCAGGGCTGGCGTATGATGGGCAGGACAGCTGGCAGCTAGCCAGCGAGGATCAACCAAGACTCGGGCCGGCGGCACCACGTTGTAAGGCTAACCCTCCGCACGAAGTGTGCGTGGCTAGTTTTGCTCAACAAGTGCCCCAAACCCAAAACCACTCGTGCCAACCGGACTGAACCGGATTGCTAATAAAACCAAATGGATTACTAATGGAAACGCTGCCTTCAGTACTGTTCTGTAGGAATCAGACAGGCTGTTCCCAACTCATGGACATAGTGCGAGAGATTAGAAACAATATTTTAATGATGCACTCGCACAGCAGTCCAGCATTTTGCGAAAGTCTTCGGGCCATACGCAATGGCAAACTGACATCCGATGACGTCACTTCTTAGCTGAGTACCAATGTTCTAATGATCATACATATCTCCCGCCAACTGTTTTAATGTTCTGACGTGCAAAAAGTTGTAGCCTAGATTTATCACTACGACTACCTGTACGCCCGCATTGCTGCGGGCCGATAATATTCTGCCCGTAGTACGACGCGCAAAAAGATAACCTGGATGGAGCCAGAGGTGAAAATTTTTCGGTGCTGAAAACGGAAAATGAACGCCCAAAATAGTAGCATTTGGTTATCTCAGTCCCTTATGTTAATGTATACGGGCATTGTTTTAGAGTATACGCGAAAATAAAGCCCAGAAAGCAGGAGCACAAGGTCTGGTAGGGGGAGGGCATATGGCTCACAAGGGGTTTCGCGATGGTGAAAGGGCCCCTCTCCAACGAGATAACCAGATAGGGCCCACTGGGTTTACAGGGGGCGCGATTTTTATTGTTTTGTTCTGCGTTCCCTTCGTTAACTTTAAAAGCAGTCATAAGCTGCCGGAAGATACCATACTACTTGCATTTTGAAGTCAACGGACTACAGGAAGCAGCCATTAAAAACTGCATGGAATAATCTGCCGGCGCTATTCATTGTACAATGGTTGAGTGAAATAACAGATAGGACTCTAAGACTTTGTGATATATTCGCCTGGGTTCCTTTCAACCTTCTGTTATCATCAATTATAGAGGAAAATGTTGTAACATTCGTTTTAACCTGCGCGCTCGCAAGTCTTGAAACAAACAAAACGCCTAAACCCGGCGTTGCAGTCTCCCCAGCCGCGCGGAGTCTGCTCTGTGGCTAATATCGGGCGACGGCTAGCGGGCGTACGAAAACTATGATGCATCTGAACTCAGTACCTTTGAGCGCCTTAAGAGCACCAATTCGTACATTTAGAAGGCAGCCCGAGCATGTTCTTCGCCTTTGCGATTTGTATATTGATGATAGGAAAGGATTAGCATTTACAGCATCGCGAACTGGTGCTGAAATGTGGTGGTCGAGCTGAGTGAAGGTAGGATCTACACTTTCGTGTTGCTGCGAACTGCCTATCTGTTCGGAGGACAAGCTCAAAATTATAAATGTGAAATATACGCCGGTCCCAAGCCTACTTGTAATTTTTGGTACGGCTTTAATTGCAAAAGACTGTTCCAAGGTTCAAACAGACAGGGAATAGACCGCCCGTTGTTGCTGGTCTGACCGACATGGACCCGCATTGTCCAGTATTCCCCAATGGGCGTAACAGGTACTCTCAACTGACATTTGAGGCTAGGGTTTTTATGGCAACGTACACATATATGGCCAACGCTAAATTTTAAAATCCAACGCCCCCGCCACCCTCACTCCCAGGCCTCACTAGAATCCGTGCCGCTGGGGGCACGCGCCTGCGTTGAACCTCTTTACCTTCCCCAATAACAGAACTCCTGTGCCTACACACGTTAATTTGGCAGCGGTGCGTTTAAGCGAATGCGGCGCAAGTCGTCTGTTCGTAGCATTTCCTTGTACCCGGTACCTACGGTTGTTTCATCTCTGGTTCTTGCCCGATGCGAAACAGCGAACGGTAAGCGCACGTTATTTGCTGACGATTTGAAAACATAAGCGTGGCGCGTGTGATCCGCATTCCAGCATGTAGAAAGTTACACGGAGCTGACCTTATTCGCCACCCAATCGGTGCTAACTCACGCCAAGCTTAAAGAAACCCGATCAAATACAATGACACGGGAAGGCCCTGAAACACCGGGGACACACATGTATACAGTCAGGACGGAAGCATTGCAGGGCGTAATCCACAACATGCCATCATATATGTGTTTTTGGTGCTTGGGAACATGCAAAGAAAAAACTTTGCGCTTGAATCTAGGCCCTAGGAATGGGGAGATCGGAATGGTAATATTGTTACCATGCGCGCATGAAACCAAAACTGGGACACGACGTACCTTTACTCTTTTTCCGTTGTCATTGATGGCATCGTTTCCATCTGAAGTCCCCTCTGATGTAGGTGATTCTGTCCGGTTTACCATCATCTCCTGTTTTTGTTTTTTCGATGTCTGGAGAGCGAAAACATTGACGCCCGCTTTCAGCAGGTGCCCGGCGTTCACTTCACGTTGAAGCGCGACGGCCAAAGGCGCGGTGGTGTATTGATTATGTGCCTTGTCTTTGAAGTATTTTTCCACCTCGGCCAAGGTCACTGTCCTTGCATTTTTATCAAGTGCTAACGATTTGACCGCTTCGTGGATGGCAGCACTAGCCCGATCAGAATTCAGGATAAAGGCACCTCCGTACATGGATATCCCTTGAATATTATCGTTGACGCGTATCCAGTTTCTGATGTCTCTGTAGCTCACAGAACCCTTGTAGTCCACCCGAACAATCTTGTGTTCATCTGTCATTTGCTCCAATGTGTCGTTAGCAGCTTCAACATCCACTCCGAATTGCTTGCTGAGAACATAGGCAATGCGGTACCGATCTGGACGAGCTTTGCGCTGCTTCAGCTGGTCAATGGCGGTCAAAATGTAATCCTTGACACACTGTCGATTTTTCAAACTTGCCACTGTCTTTGCCGAAGCCATAAGTTCACCAGGCAACACGAAACACCACAGCGCGCCCCTCACCAGCCACCTCACGCCATGCTAGAAAAATACCCCACCTTCGTACAGGCCTGATGGAAATGCATTGTGGGTAGAGGTGAAGTAGTAGGAGCAAGTAAAAGAAATAGGGTGTTGGCCAAATGGTGCACTGAGAGATACTCCCTGGAGTTTTCTTTTGATCTATCTCATAGCTGTAATTCCATAATAGCGGAACAGCTCGCTTGAGTTTTAGAATGTAGGTTTTATTTTATGAAAAGTTTTCATTTTTTTTAAAAGATATCTTCCTAATCATTTTTCAACCACTTCCCATGTAGGCGAACGTGGCGACGGAGGCGTGGGGAGGGGAAGCGAGCTAATAGACGAGCAGCTGTAAATTCCCTGACGCATTTTACCAGATCGGCTGTGCATTCCCCTGTAAGCGCTATCTTAGGTTTTGTTCCAGTTCCGTAGTAATGAGTTTGGTGCTGAGCGATAACGCAAGTGACGTCTTACTTACCCAGTCCTCTGTTCGGTAATCTATGGCTGACGATGAAGGATTTTTATTGCTAGTGGACGATTGTGGTCATCCCCGTGGGGCCTTCGTCATACCTTACACGAAAGCATTGCACATTATTTAAAATGCTAACATTTTGCCGGTCATGCTTGCAATTTAAACAAAGGTAATAGTGCTGTCGTATTATATTTCCGAAATCCTGGAATGACGGAATAGAATTGTTCTGTTCTTTGGAAGCCGTCCTCTCTGCTTTAAAAATGTAACCTAGTTGACTCAATAATTTAGATATATCGCATGATGTGTGGTATGCTAGAAGACGAGGTGGTCACCGTATCTGGTCGGAAAAACATGAGAAGCTCCATGTTTGTCGTGAAATTGCCACAATCGAGGCCTTCCGAGTACTGTTGTTCTTCATTGAACTTAATAATTTAGCGGCCACATCTCTGGTGTTGTTCGGTCGCGATGGTGGCGCTGGCCTGCTCTTACGTGCAAGGTCCGCTCCCGTACCACCCATCATTGTGCAACGAATGCGGCGGAGGGGTTGTGGGGTGCAGCGGTGTGGGGATGGCGCCGCGGGCGCGCCTCGTGGTGAAGTTTGATTCGGATTGAGCGCGGCTGGAATTACGTGTGAGGGCCTACAAAGCAGCGACTAAGCTTCTGTGAAAGGTACGGAAGAAGCTACTGTCAGTCTGTAGACATCTGTACTTTTCTGTACTGATCGAACAGCTGTGATTTGTTGCGGGGACGCGGTTGCGGAGTTCCGAGATACGTAGTCATGCTGAGATTGGGACGGATGTTGCTATTATGTATAAAGGATATAATTTAGATGACCCTGTTGGCAATGTAAGCTGATAGGCGAAATCTACAAGAATCGTCACTCAGTGTTTTTGATGAACTGTGCTTCGCCCTGTTCATCATGTGTTGCCTTATTCTCACAATTTGTATTGTGGTAATCACAGCACAATTGATTTTTATACATGCTGCACACAAACTGACCAGGTACCATTTTGCCATCCAAAGGTAAAACCTCATATGTTGATTTTTGGTTGGTTGGCATCTATGTCATCTGATTCATCTACCCATGCTAAATTCAGTTAGTTAGTCAATCAGTGGAAAGTTTCACAAACTCCAGGCCCTTGTTTTAGCAAAGCAGTTGTGAAAACTTGATCAATTGGTTGAAGTATCTGAATTCAGCAGGAGTAGACAAGTCATGTGACAAAAAATGCAAAATGGCCAGAAGTGAACACATAGAGTTTTACCTTTGGACAGCAGCATTGAGGTGATGCCATGCACTATGCACAACAGAGGGAGTGTGGTAAAAATACCACCAACCACCCCTGGGTAGTGCCAATAGCAAATGACATCAACAACCTAGTATGGCCAACTGGTCCCTGGGATTTAACCTAAATTTTACTGTACATAACCTGTTTGTGTGAGAGAGTGCATTGGGTGAGGGGGGGGGGGGGGAGGCTCTGCCTCATGCTCAGCTGATTTCCCTACCAATCAATGGTCAGTACCATCATTTAGTGATTCCATGTAGGAACTGCAAAGGCACAGGCATTCATGGTCATAGGATGTAACACCAGTCTTAAAAAACATGTGACTGAACACCCATGCAACATCTCTGCTACATTTGTTTGTACTTGTGTGCCCTGAATGTAGGCCAGCCCAAGCTGTGCTGAGGTTTTGATTGTTTTTTTAGACATATGTAATGATCTATTTTTTGCAGCAAATGATTCATATGATGTCAAAATTTCTTAAAATGCTGGTTATATGCAATGAAATAGGTGATGTTCACATTAAGCTTCTACCGCTCTGATTTACAGTAAAAAGGGATTAATTTGTTTACTGCTGTTCCTACAGTGATAAGTCATTCCAGGCAAACAGTTTTAAATGAAGTCACATCTAATTCATGTACACCAAGGGATTCCAGAAATTAAACATAAGCATGTGCAGGGGTGCCTGTTGCACAGTGGCTGCATTACCCAGCTTAGAATCCAAATGTACATCACAGGCACCACATCCAGTTTGATGTGGCACCTGTGTTTTCTGCCACAATGCCATATAGCTTTTTAGTGACAAAATTTTGCCGGTGGATGGGGATTTCAGGATTGGATGTTGGGGCTCAGGGTTTGCACAACATAATTTGCTTGGTATAAATCCTGATCACATATGCTTAATGATCTAAATGTGCTCAGACCACATTTTAAAGGAAGTGCCGGAGTGTAGCAAAGATTCTATACTTGGCTCCCCCAAACCACTTGTAGTGGCAGGCAATAGCAAGCATTGTGTGATTTTGCTTCCATGTCATGGTGGAATTTTATGCCAATAGCCTGCTTCAGATGAAGTTACATGAAGCTAGCTGGAACTCTGATGTTGCACCTGAAATATGTAGGGTGTAAGAAGCATTATGTACACATGCATGACTCCTACATGTGTTGTGCTGTAACTCCTACATATGCTACACTCCTACTTTGTGGGCTACTGGTGTTGGCACAGGCCATAGAGTGTTGCTATATCATGGTGCTGAAAGGCTCAGAATGTGATGATTCATGTTTATCACAGGGTTTAGTAAGGAAACTGTGCCTGGAGCAGGGAGTTAAAAGGTCTGAAAGTACACACAATGGAATGTGGTTTTGAGTTCATTGAGGGACTTGTGAAGTCAGGTGTGAAGAGGGGCTGAGCACCTCAGTTTTGGAGATTTAGCATTGACTTTATGGGTGCTAACTGGCAAAAAGTTAAAAATTGTTATTGCTCTGCACAAATTTGGAGAACTTTCATTGGCCCTGATGTTGTGCTTACATTCTATTGGTCATGGTTCACAGCTATGCTCATCCATGCATCCAAATGACACCCTGTTTTTACACAATTGGTCTACAAATGTTGTGCACTGAATGCTGTAATGGTCTTGATGCCATGATGGCATGGCCTGCTGTGCACACTGGCCACCCCTGAGTGAATGTGGCTTCCGCAAATGGTATGATTTTCATCTGTGAAATACCAGAGTCATGGGACATAAACAATTAGCTGTCATTCTGCTGACCACAATGATAAGTGTTCACAAGTGGCAGGAGATGTTTAACCCACTCAGGGATACATTTTTCCCAGCAAAAATGGAAACCATTGTTTTATGAGGGTGAAAAATCACCATTGGTTTGAGATATATGCTATTTTAGGTCATGGCTTATATCACCTTTTGGGTTGCAGAAACAAACTAGTGAAAAATGTAAGGTACAAAACAAAACATCCAATGAAAAAGTTAAGTTGCACTGAGAGAAAATTGTGTGGCTTATCAGATTTTTAAGTTAATACGCATTTAGTATCAGTGATGTGGGGCAACAACAGGCTTACTCCTTCATATATTATCTTGAACTTTCCCAGCTTGCATTTTTGCATGCATGTGAGGCATCAATGTTATTTTATCTGGTACCAAAAATTGATGGATCACATCTTCCCTTGGTATAGATGATGCTTGACCTGCCGATGGACATAATTTTTTCTGTTATGGGGTGCGACGCTGTAATTATAATGCTCCAAATGCGCTGTCTTGTAATCCTGGTGTGGGTGGGTAACTTAGCAATGCAGCAATGACAGATATCACGATGTGCTCGTCTGGCCTCTCCAGTGCCATGGAATGAAGTATTTGTCCACAACCCAATGGTGGGCTGAAGTCAGTTTACGAGGGAGAAATCTATCGAAAGTCTGTTGAGAGACCCTCCCGTGCTTAGGTCCTCTGTCGGTAGCCAGTTGACAGCCAGCTTGCAACTTATGTGTCGAATGTGTTATGTGGCGGAGTGATATTTCATGCCTGGTGTTCGGCAGGGGGGATCGTTTTCAGCTGGTTCGCACGCTGGCTCGTGTCCTGTCAGCCTGTGGCGCGGTGCGTCCCAGGCTTGCGCAGCGTCTGTCATTCGGAGCGGACATTGACGCGGCTCCATCAGTTGCGCGCGCGCGTTCTACTGAGCGGTCGCTGTTGCGCCCGGTCGGATCGAACTCAGTCGCCGGTCGCCGCCGTCGATGGCATAGGCCGTTTCCATAGTTCGCAGCGCCGGTCGCAGCCGTCGCCGGTTTTAGCTGTTCTCGTCGTTCGCAGGATGCCAAGACGCACGAAGCTGTCGCGGCCACGCCCGTCGCCTCGCCGGACCGTGAGCCCCGAGCTGCCATGGCTGGAGCCGCCCGGCCGCGTCGGCGGTCAGCCAGACGGCGGCTCGGCCGCAGAAGGCGGCGGCGAGGCGGCGCCGTGCCCGCCGCGCACGCGCGCGCCGCCGGCCGAGCGCGAGGGCGAGACGGACGGCGCCCGGCCGGCGCTCGCCTCGTCCCCCTCCTGGGACGACCCGGCGCTGCTGTCGGGCGTCAGCGTTGGCGCAGGCGACGACCGGCCGCTGGTCGCCGGCGACCTGGCCTGGGCCAAGTACGGCGCCGGGTTCTTTCCGGTGCTTGTGACGCGCGTCGCTCGCAAGAGGGTGTCATACAAATTCATATACGATCTGGTGACGCAGAAAGACGCGCGCGTGTTCAGGGCGCAGAGCAAGCAGCTCAGGGCCTTCACGTACCAAGAGAAGCAGCGTCAGCTGAGCGCCCCTGCAAAACCGTACATTCGCGAGCAGGTGCGGGTTACCGTCGAGGCGGCTGAGGCGTTCCTGGTGAGCTCCGAGGCGGACCAGCCGGAGGAGTTTTTCAAGTTCAAGTGCGATTATATTACGCGATTGCGCGCCAACTCGGTGTCGCCGATAAAGAAGGGCGGTCCGGCGCCGCCACCGGGGTCGCCGGTACCTCCCTGGCGTGTCGCCGGAGCGTTCCGGCATGATGACGAGGAGGAGGACGACGAGGACGAGGATCAGGAGGACGACGACGAGGAGGAGGAGGACGCCGAGGGCGTATGCAAAGCGCTGCCGTCGGGACCGCCGCTGAGCGACCGCCAGCGTGCCGAGCAGCAGGAGTACGTTGGCCGCCTGCTGGAGCAGATCCAGAGCCAGCCGTGCCGCGACCGTCTGGCCGCGGCGCATGCGGGCGCGGTGCCGTGCTGGCGGCGCGAGGCGTTCAGGCGCGGCGAGTGGCGCCGCCTGCTGCTCGCCAGCGGCTGCAGCGACCTGAGCTCGTGGCCGGAGTTGATGAAGGCGGCGCTGCTGGAGGTGGACAAGGTGGTGGAGGCGCTGCCGGCGGCGCCACCCAACGAGCGGCGCCGTTACGCCAGCGAGGTGATGCTTCCCGAGGCAGTCATGTTCGCCGCCGGCCGGCTGGCTGACGGGCCGCGCTCGGCGGAGGAGCTGGAGCATGAGCTGGCTCTGGGCCGCTTCCAGAACTGAGCAGCGGGGCCGCGCGACCGGGTCAGGAGCCGACGGACGGCCCTCTGCCGGATGGCCTCGGCCGCTCACACTGCGTGGATATGTGATGATGCAGCACTTGGGCACACGCGGAAGTAACGTACCATGTCCCCCTGGGTACGTATGGTCCAAACGTCGCACAAAATACTCCGAAAGACCAGCAGTTCTTGTAAATGTAATACCGGGACCAGTATTCACCGCGCGATGGAGACAACCACTGGAAGAATGGCGTTAGGACTAAGCCTTCAGTCCACGAAGCCCACAAATGTAAGCAAGACAATGTCAAGCATGATTTATTAAAAGCCGATGGCATGTAACCTCAGAACCGTCGCCGACACTGCCGTGTCCGAGTAACTTGGGAACTGTCGCCACACTGCTGCGTGCGAGCGCTCCGGAACTGTCGCCGACACTGCTGTGTCTGAACGATCCGGGAACTGTCGCCGACACATCGGTTGTCATTCACGGTTCGGACTTTCCGCCGATTCCACCGATCTCGTTTACCGACACCAGGAGCGTTATGGCGTTCCCCGCCGTTATTCATAACCCACCGCCACATCTGGTGGTGGGCTTTCCACCGATTCCGCCGATTTCGTGTACCGACACCAGGAGCGTTATGGCGTTCCCGTCGTTATTCATAACCCACCGCCACATATGGCGGTGGTTTGCGCGTTATTTCACTAGCGGATCACTGTTAGACATTAGATTACATTATCACGACCGTGTACCTGGCAACCTCTGCTAGTCACCTTCAGTTCAGGGCGCGCTGGGCGCGCCAAGCGCGATAATTAGGATCATGTGTCCAACGGCTTTCTTGGGGCGCATAAACATGAACATGTTTGGCTCTGTGTATTCACTCGTGAGATTTAACCAGCGAGATTGTGGTGTGCCTTGCGTGCCGCTGTGGTGCGGCCGGTGTCGCCACAAACGTCTTCCCCTACTTGGACATTCATTTGAGTTTGATTTGGTTCGGGGTTTTGACGGGTTCAAGATTTGCGCGTTGCGGTGCGTCCATCCCTTTGTTACGCTTACGCTGTTGATGACGCTTCGAGTGCTGCTATTGAAGCACGTGGTTTTTGCTGACTCGTCTGCTGATCAATACACTGTTGATGCACACCGCGTTTTTCAGAACTACGGTGGGATGAGAACGACGTGATAGCTGTTTGAGGCTGGTACCATCCACGATGCCTCCTGGTGATGCGTAGTCTGGGTGGCTGGTTCATGCCGATCTCCACAGCCGCGTGTGTTTTGGCAGCAAGTTCGCTAGTGTCCAGCTAGTGCTAGTATCCTTTGTGAGCTGGTGAGAGCCGGTGACGATGCTGCTGCCGCGCCCTCCTCTGGACGATTCTGCAGTCCGCTCGCATCGGTCCCGGCTCACACCATCTCCGCCGGCTCCTGCCGCTGGTTGTGTTCGGTCCGCCGTCCGCCACTGCCTCGCCGCCAGCGCGCTGGCCTTCTCCGTGTCTGGTCTCCACCGGCAGCGCCCGATGGCCATGGCAAATATTCGCCGGATGTGGTCCGGGCATGACCGCTGCCTGTCCTGGGCCGCGATTTCGCACGTTTTATGGGTGCGGTGTGGAGCGGTGAATCGTCAGGGATGTCTGGTGGGGAGTGTGCTGGAGCAGGCTTATACGTGATAAATTACTGTTACGGTTTAGGGCGGGGTCATCGGCTGATGGGTCGGCGCGGGGACAGGTCATATTTCGGGTCTGTTCGTTCCATGACAATGATATTTCAAGTGCGTGGGAGACTGAGAGATTTGAGCGACACTACCCGTGTCTGCAATTTTGGCTATCGCTGCGAAAGCTCAGCTTGCTATGCTGCCACGGAGTTGACGTAAGGTCGCCGTATTACAAGAGACTTCCAATTACTTGTCAATTTCAATCTCAGCGAAATGCTGTCATTGTTCGGCAGTGTGTGGAGAGGTCTGAAGCACCAGGGATTTTCGAACACAACATGTTAAGTTCGCTGGCTGGCACGGGCGCAGGAAGCACATGGGGAGCGCCAGGTGTGGCTCCAGCTATCGCCTGTGGAAGGGACGCGTGCCGGTCTTGGTGCAGTGGTGCGGGGCGGGTGCCCGGTTGTTCGGCATTTCCCACGGGGAGCGACAAATTTCATCACACCCCCATAATCATAATCCTCATCTATAAACATTTTAAGGGGACGATACGCTTGCTGCAAGGTGTTATACCTTGTACCTTGTACATGCTATCTTCAACCGACAGGAATGCTCACAAAGTAAACCACAAACCCAAAGTGTTTGCTTTCGGTACCTTCAAGCTTTGATCGTACAAAAATGGAATCGAGCTTCAGCGTCTGCAGGAAACGGCATTTTTATGAAAAAGTTTTATCGCTGGGTGTTATTCTTATTAATTGTGTGTATACTACAATAACGCAATAGCCCAAGATGCAACCACGCAATTTCTGCTGGCATATAGATAACAGCTGGTAAATGTTTTGCCCTGGATACGGCAAAACTTGCAAAGCCTTGTTCATCCCTCTAGCCAGCCCTACCGACGCCCAAGGCCGAGTCAGCACGCGACGGGCGCTCAGCTTCCCCGCCGTTTCAGATGGTGTTCCGGCGCCCACGGTTACGGCTTCAGCCGAACGTGGTGGCGCGGCCAGCGCCACGCGAGCCAGACGCGACACCGGCCGCTGCCGCCGCGCCCGCCGCCGCGCCGCCCGCAAAGCCGCGTCCCCAGCTGCCGGCCCGCTTCAAACGTCTGGCGCCACGCCTTGACGTGGGCCGCGGGACTGCTGAGGCGGCCCGTGAAGAGGGCAGCACCAAAGAGCCGGCAGGTGGCAGCACTGGAGAAAACGTACGGCCCGCGACCGGTCCTATCTCGTAAGTGATCGGCAGGTGCACTCGGTCGAAATGAGTGGCCGCCGCAGCTTGTTTGTAGTGTATTGAAGGGAGACAAGACACGCTATCGTCTCAAAAATGACGGCAAATTGATCCTGGCGGCCGTCAGGCACTTTGACTCACAGGAATATGTCCGGACTTACTTAACACCTGCGATTCTTTGAGCTCTTGGCGTGTATTGAAGTCGTGGGTTTCTTTAATAAGGGCGTGAAGGTTTATCTGAGCGAACTATATTCAAATCGACGACAGATCTGTCGTCTTGTCGGAACCATCATATATCTCCCAATGTTCAGTTCGTCAGACCACGATGCACATCAGCAAGCAGCAAGAAGTCCCGTCACCACCACCGCTGTCTACTAACCCAGTCCTTCGCCCTCTAACCACTCGCTACGTCTGCACAGTTTGTCCCTGCCTTCCGACTTGTACAACGTGGCGCCCCGCCCACCCCGACCTAACGCGAGCCGTCTGGCACCGGCAGCGGGCCGCCGGCGGCGCCAGAGGCAGCGGCCACGCCGTCCGCGCCCCCGGCGGAGGCGGAGGTGGCCTGCCCGGCGCCGGCCAAGCGGCCGCGGCTGGACTCGGCGCGGCGGCCGGACGAGCCCGCCGTGCCGGAGGGAGAGGCCCCGGCGGCCGAGGCGCCGCCGCCGCCGCCGCAAACGCCGCCATCCGCCGCCGCAAGCGCCGGTGCCAGCTCCGGAGCGTTCCCCGCCGCCGGCCCGCCAGCCGCCGCCGCCGCCGTCACCGCTGCCGCCGCCGCCGCCGCCGCTCCCGCAGCCGCCCTCGCAGCCGGTGCCGTCGTCGCCGCCACCGCCACCGCCACCGCCACCGCCACCGCCGTCCCAGGCGGAGGCGGACAGCGCCGAGCTGGACCCCGGACGACCCGGTGCTGGCACTCACTGAGGTCGACCTGTGCCTGCGCAAGCGGTTCAACACGACACGGTGAGTGATGCGGGAAAGCGGGGGGGGGGGGGGGTGATCGGTGGCGGCACTGGAGCGGCCGGGCCTGACGTGTCACAGTGACGCCAACAGACTGGTGGGTAGTGATGGAATGCTTCGGTCTTCGCCCCCAATGTGTATGTGCAGTTTCGTTGGCAGGGTTGGGTAGTGGGGCAGGCCAGATCGGGCTGTTGGAGGTAACCATTCTGTAGGAAAAATGGAGTAGCGCACACTGGTGGCAGCAGAAACCTGCACGTCCTCTGGCCTGGCGCATTCTTCGCCCCCTTTACTGATCGGCTCACGGCGAGTTGACAACAAAATGGAACTAGCGTTGGCCACACCCAACGCAAGTCTGGTTATTGCCGGCTGTCCGAGAAAAGTAAATTTCGTCTCCGTCCGCGGAAAGTATCTTCGGGTTTAAAACAGGCATGGACGTCCAACAAGTTATTCTGTATAGCTGAAAATGTGAATAATGCGCTAGCCAACAAAGAAATAGGTGCGGTTCGTGGTAATCACCCCTAGTCATATGAGCAGCTTCCCTACTATTGCACGACTTGTCTTGCCGTCCCGCTGGAAAAACGCGTCTTGTCAGAGACGACACAGTCAGCTCGGTCGCCACGGATAATGCATAGTTCTTTAGTCATCCCCTTTGAAGCCGCTGCATTGAAGTGGAAACAGTGTTAGTGCCGTTCGCGCATGTACTCACAAAGGTTCACCGCCAAATGCCAGGAGGCCGAAGAACAACAGCCGCGAAATCCTAGAGCAGATCTCGGAGCGGGTCAGCGACAACTTGCCGATCCGTACGAAGATGATGATGAAGGACCTCATCTACTGGAACCCCGATACGGAGGCCATGTCCAACAGCAAGGAGAAGCCAGCCAGGAGGGGGCGCACTCGTCGGGACAGGTAGGCGCCCGGCGCGTCGGGGGCAGAAAATTGCAGGCTCACATGCGTGTTTTTTGTTCTGTCTTCTCGCGTGGGGATGCGACCGAGTAGCCATGCCACCAGTGTGGAATGAAGTCACGCAGTGGGATTGAAACGTGTGGTGTTTAGGGATAACCGTCGGGAAACTAGTTGTGTTCAGTGCCTCTGCTGGTGCCGCCGCGCCCGAGCCGGTGGCATCTGCTGTTCGTCGCTGGCTTGGGGTCAGCCAGCACCTCGCCGCCATGGAGGCGGGACGCCCGCTGACCCTCCCACCCGCCGCCACGCCGGCGGGACGCCCCCCCCCCCCCCCCCCGTGATCCTCGCACCCGCGGCCACGCTGGCGGGACCACTCTGACCCTTGCACCCGCCGCCATGTAGGCGGGACGCCCACTGACCCTCCCACCCGCTGCCACGCCGGCGGGGACGCCCCCCCCCCCCCCCCCATGATCCTCGCGCCCGCCGCCACGCTGGTGGGACCACTCTGACCCTCGCACCTGCCGCTATGTAGACGGGACGCCCACTGACCCTCCCACCCGCTGCCACGCCGGCGGGACGCCCCCCCCCCCCCCCCCCCCATGATCCTCGCGCCCGCCGCCACGCTGGTGGGACCACTCTGACCCTCGCACCTGCCGCTATGTAGACGGGACGCCCCCTGACCGTCGCACCCGCCGCCAGCGCGAGCAGTGTGACGTCGAGCCGGACGGACGCGACGGCCGAAGACTCGGCGTCACAGAGACCGGACGACCCGGAACCGGATCCGGAGTTGGAGCCGGAGCCGGATCCGGAGCCGACGCCGGCTGACGAGGAGGAGCCCGAGGATGCCATGCCCGTGCCGCAGCTCAAAGTCGGCCCCGACGGCAGCATCGTCGTGGACGAGCAGTCACTGGTGGGTCGCCTCTCTGCACGTTAATGGGGGGTCGTCCTGCTATGACGACCGATTCTGCTGGTCTGCTCAGGCTGGTCTTGCGCGATCTGACCAGCCTCACCAGTAATTAGCCGAGATGATGTGATGTGGTGCTAAGTGTGCTGGCTGCAATCTGGCCCAGCCGGGCTACGCGACCTGGTGAACTCGTCATCCTGATGTGTTTGCTTACGTTCGTCCTTTTGTTCTCTCTTGCCCCTCGATATGTGCGCTGTGCGCTCTGCTGAATTCATTGTGCTAGCAATGCGCATTTGACTAAGTATTCTACCTGGCGAGATTTGGCGGGCTCTCAACGAATCCTGCCGCTGGGGGTCCGTAACGTAGCCCGCTCCGTCGTACACGTCAGACGCGGGCTCTGGTCGCACTGCGCGGTGGTGTCGGCCGCTGTCTGCGGGGTGTGCTGCTTGCCTGTTGGAGGCTGCCCCGCAGTCTACACTGCCGGCTCGAGGACGTCTCGCAGGCAGCAGATGTCTCCGCGGCTCATGCGTCATCTAGCGGGCGCTGACGCCTCGTCACAGAGCGTATCATCTCCGAACGATCAGGCGGTCTGCTTCAGGGCATATCTCGGCGCCTATCACCGATCACTGATGATCACCGGTGATCACCGCTTATCACCGATGATCTTTCGACGGTCGGTCGCGAAGGGTGTTCTGGCGGCCCGTCACAGCGTTCTCTGGGCGGCGTCACGCAGCTCGCCGTGACGACTCGGCTCGCGTCACGCCTGCGACTCGTCGCGCCTCCCGGCCAGACGACCCGTCACACGAACCGCCCCGGCGCCGGGCCCGCGGCGCCCTCGCGCGGCCTCGCTCGCCACGCGTACCTGCCGCGCGACCAGCGCGGCGCGCCCGTGACGGGGCCGCCGCCACCCGCAGGTGGTCAAGACAAGCCAGCAGCGGCAGCGCGATCAGGAGCTGTCGTCGGAGCTGGTGCGGGACCTCACGGGCTCGCGCATCTCCTTCAACGGCTACCGGCAGCGGCGCCAGATCAACGAGTGGAGCATCAAAGGTACGCGCCGCCGGCGGTCGCCCCGGCCGGGCGGGCTCGGCGCCGGCCGGCGGTGGGGCTGGCCACCGACCTCGCCGTACCACGGCTGGCACTGCGGCAGGCTGGCGATGGGAGACGGGCTGATTTGGGGCAGATGAGGGGCGCGTCGACGCCGAAAACGTGCAGCACTAGGGCGTAGGGAGCGTGGGTGGTGGGATGTTGACGACGCACGGGTGCGGATGTTGTTACGGCGGGGGGGGGGGCATGAGCCGGGGCGCCTTTGAGGCCGGTCACAGGTTGTACAGATTCTGTATTTCCTTGTGATTGTGATTCTGTGAGCGGTGACTGCGTCACGCTGGTTGTGTTACACACAAGCTTACCGGCGCTGCCAACAACTCCGCAAAGCGCGGTTATAATTTAAAACAGACCGTTGTATTTATCAATGACAGGCGAGATGGATGGTGACACCCCACGAGCCTGTGCCCACTTGAATGTCTGACAAATTTGATTTAGGACGTGATCTTTTTCTGACGCTACGATCGTAGGCTTGGTCTTTTGCTTCAGTCAGCGGGACCCATGTGGTGATTAAGAATGGGAGGGAAAGGGAAGAGTTGCATGGCAAATTCACAAAAAAGGTTGTATAGGTGTCACAAGGGATGTATGGTTGTGAGTGGAACATCATCAAGTCACCACAAACCTCATGTTGGTCGAATGCTTAGCTTTTTCAGACCATGCCACGCCAGTCTGGTTTGTTATGTTCTTCTGGCTTTTCATGTGGTCAAAGTAGTGCACGCCATCAGTTAACACCAGGTTAACTTAATACAGTGATCGGGCACCGCTGTTTTCATACATTACTTAACTCAAACTGCCATCTCAAAACGTCATGGCGAACGGCGTTAGTTTGGCTGCAAAGTTAGCGGCATGCCGTTGGCGTGGCCGGTTGAATAAGACGCTCTGTACACCACCGGCCCGCACGGGCCACGCCGCACTCCTCCCGGACGTGAAGCAGGCCACTAGACGGCTACTGAAGTGGTCTGCCGTGATTTATGAGGCTGCAAACTTTGTTTCGCCGGCCGTCGGTGATTTTGCGCATGTTCGTCGTCAGTGTAACTGGATTGGGCGGGTAAGTTGCCAGATTGGCTGGCCCATCCAGCAGCCGAAGCGGAGTTTTAAAACACTGTGTGCGGCTGAGAGCGGTCCGTGAGGTCTGAGAGCCGACCCCGAGGCACGCGAGAGGACTGGGCTCACCGCTGGGCTGCCCCTGCATCGGTGGGTGCTCGTGATGCAGCTCACGTTGTGCGGCGAGTCACGGGAACCCCATTTCATGTCACACTGCGTGCCATTGCTGGGAACTTATGTTGAGTCGTGGTGAGGCACTGTCCCTGCTTTGTCTGTGGCGCTGGGTGGGGTTGGTTGTGTCGTTACCTTGGATGTGCTTTGATCTTGGGTAGCTCATGGAGGACACGTGAGACGGCGGTCGGTTGTAGCTGTGCAGTGCGAATGATGCAGCGTGCGCTCTTCCATACCTTTATTATCACCTGCCACCTCCGCCGCCCAGCCGGGGCCAGCACTGCGTTGATCTGGCTATGACGTCAGAGCACAACTTCGCTGTAGGTGTGACGTTCTGGTCAGCTTGCCGAAGATGACGGCACATCAATGGGGGAGGGGGGGGGGGGGGGGTTCGCGTTGTAGAGAGCTCGAAGTTCTCCAGTTAGCCTGTTTAAACTATTGTGACGTTACCGTGCGCTGCCCCTCACCGGCCGGGCCTGTGACGTCCTGCGACAGCTGTCCAGGCCGTGACGTCGCTGTGTGCTGGTTGCAGAGACGGCCCGGTTCTACAAGGCGCTGAGCACAGTCGGCACCGACTTCTCCATCATGCAGCAGCTCTTTCCCAAGCGGAGCCGCGTGGACCTCAAGAAGAAGTTCAAGAAGGAGGAGCGTAAGAATCCCCACTTGGTGGAGCGGGCGCTCACAGAGGACATGCAGTACGACCTCACCATCTTCGACAACGACGGTCAGTGTCGGGAGAGGGGAAGACCGTGTGGTCGTGACATGCCATTTCCCTGGAAAGCAAAGGTCACCGTGTCTCCTCACTGGGCCTGGCGCGGTTCAGGTGTGCCAGCCGCCAGATTTAAGATGCAAGGGAGATGCTGTTTCAGCAGTGAAATCGTACTTCATTTATAGGTAATATTTTGCATTGGAGCAAGCGGTGAATGTTTATAAAGGACATGTCTGTAATAGCTCTCTGCTCTATTTCCCCGCGAAAATAATTTGCGCGGACAGGTATCCACGCCACTGCGTTTGGGAAACCCCCAGGCTACAATAGCACGGCGTCAGTGGCCAGGGATATTGTGCGGTGACTGTGTGACGCGTCCTGTCCGTAAACACGGCCGGACGGCATCCCCACACGCCGCATCGGTGTCAGAGCACTGTCGACGCTGGCTGCAGCCAATAGGCCCCCCGCCGGTCGCGCACGGCGGCCAGGTGCGTTACGGTCGGCGGCCAGACATCCGGGCCCGGCTGATTGCCAATACCGGCGCCACTGGACGACCGCCCGGGCGGCGACCCGCCCCTCCCCCTCCCCCTCCCCCTCCCCCGACGCCTTCGCGTCGTCCGTTGACCGTCTCGAGGCGTGTTCTCGCGCGCGAGCGCGCCGGCCGAGTGTTTGCTTGCCCGCGGCGTCCGGGGTCGGACGCTGCGGAGGCTGAAGTGGGATCAGAGCCGGCTACGGCCTCTGTGGTCGCCGGAGGCGAGGACATACGCCCCCCGCCCCTCGCCCCCTCCCCCCATGGGGAGAACATCGGCTGCGGCCGACGGGCCATCTCTGTAACCTATGGCGGCAGTCTGCTGTAACGTTAACGTAGGGGACTAGGGGGTTAACATAGGGTTTAAGTGGACTGTAAGGTGCGCCGATTCAGGTGAAATGAGCGGAACGATGATGAAGGCACGCGCACAGGTCTTCTCGACTGGGAAGCATGTGGTGTTGGCTGTTTCGCATTCGTCTGAAAGTGCTGAAGATTTCTCTGACCGGTCATTAAAAAAAAACGATGGCACGTGGTCCAGGCCTTGTTTTGTGGATCGGAGGTCTTGCTCAGCATGCCTGGTAGCAAAAGCCATGAGTCCAACATTCCAGCAGCGTTCCAAGATTCGTCCGGAGGGGTGTGAAGGATGCAAAGCTAGGTTCATGACTATTAGACCTTCTGTCTCTCCGATGGGCCACCATACACAAATTTCGTCGGCTACTTATCCGTCGTCATTGACCCCCGAACGCTGCCATCTGACCTACCCAGCCCATTTACCCGGCCCCGAGGCGTCTGATTGAAGCTGGGTCGACCTTCGCCCGGCTCGATGCTGATTGGCCGATTGTGATCGAGGGGAGGAGCAGCAGGCAGGGATACCCTACCCGGGGAGTGCGATAGTGGCCGAATACTGCGACACTTCATGGCAATGGTGACATTCCAGTTGAACGGACAGTTTTTGGCGAGCGGTTTGTCCGGGTGCCGCCAGGACACTGCGCCTCTGCCTGGGCGTGCTCCTGCTGACGGTCACACTCGGACCGTCTCGGAGCGCGGGTTGACGCAAAGCTGACGCTTGTGCGGCGGGCGGGGTCGAGTGGGGCCTCCGTGCCGGCGCGGGTCGGCGGGTCTCCGTGCCGGCGCGCGGGTCGGTTAGGGCCTCCGTGCCAGCGCGGGGGTCGGCTGGGGTCTCCGTGTCCGCGGGGTCGGCTGGGGTCTCCGTGTCGGCGCGGGGGTCGGTTGGGGCCTCCGTGCCGGCGCGGGTCGGCTGGGGTCTCCGTGCCGGCGCGCGGGTCGGTTGGAGCCTCCGTGCCAGCGCGGGGGTCGGTTGGGGCCTCCGTGCCAGCGCGGGGGTCGGTTGGGGCCTCCGTGCCGGCGCGGGTCGGGGGGTCTCCGTGCCGGCGCGCGGGTCGGTTGGGGCCTCCGTGCCGGCGCGGGTCGGCTGGGGTCTCCGTGCCGGCTCGGGGGTCGGTTGGGGCCTCCGTGCCGGCGCGGGGTCGGCTGGGGTCTCCGTGCCAGCGCGCGGGTCGGCTGGAACCGCCGCGCCAGTGCGACCGACGCGGCGCCGTCAGCCGCGAACCGGGCTGTGGCGGTTCGCGTGTCGGCCGCAGCGGAAGCTTCGACTCCTGACCGCCTGCTGAGGCTGGCAGCTCCCGTCGTCAATGCTGAGAGAAACTGGCGTGGCAAAACTGTCCGGACAAACCGCCAGTGCAGAGAGAAAACGCTAAAATTATGGTATTGAAGCGTAAGTTGATGCGGCCGCTGCAAACCCACCCTACCGTGGCCTCCTCCTGCGCCCGCGAGTGATGTCGGGCGTGGCCTCGTGTCGGTTGGAGACAGTGACGGTTGAACGCGTCGGCTGGGAGAAATCGCCGAGTCTGGCGGCAGCCGACC